TCCACACACACCTGCATTTTCACCTCATTATTTTTGCATGTCGTGTTTTTCTTCAGCCAATCAGGAGGCACAGAAACAGATACTGAAAAAGAAGTGTAAGGTTATAAAAGAGGCAGCCATTTAATCCCTGGTTGATGCTTAATTGTACGTTTTTCTCTCCCTTCGAGGAACGCGGCAACTTGTCTCTCCGTTTCGCATGATTCTTTGAGGTTAGTAAGAGGGACTTGTGGTAGTTATGAATTGTGTAAAAGCAAAGTATATGTGTATTTCTCATTTCTCTTTTGTTCTCTCGGTCTCTGTTTGTGTATCTGCATTACTGCCCCAGTCTCTATATATCTGTCATTGTCTCTGTCTTTCTGTCTGTATCTGTATCTACTCTCTGTCTGTTGGTCTGTCTGTCTGTCTCTGTCTCTCTATGTCTGTCTGTCTGTCTCTCTCTTTCTCTGCCTTTGTTTATATTTTTCCTCCTATCTTTCATTTGGACATTGCACTAGTATAAAGTATTCTTACTCTTTTTCTAATTGCGAATAGCAAAACCTTACTGCCAATATTTTTACCATTTTCTGTCAATTCTACAAGCTAAAAATGCTTTCACCCTCTCGATAATACATCTATCCATACATTCCTTCCCCCCTTTCTGGAAATAACAAAAGCGAACCGGTTCCAGAGAAAGAGATGTGGCGATGCGCACTGGGGTCCCTCTGCATCGTGGGTGTTTTGGTGTGCATTCCATCAGCTGTGAGGAGTCAGTCCACGTCAGCTGATCGGCACAGGGACGCAGATCTCCAGGATGTTGATGTGCTTGTAACTCAGATCGTGGAAGAACACCTGGCGGGTTGCTACCTGGTGTTTGTCACGACTGATGACGAGAACCCAGTGTTTACGTCCGTGTTCAGGTCCGATTTTTTGTTGAAATGTGTAAAGTCATGGGGCGAGAGAGAGAGAGAGAGAGAGAGAGAGAGAGAGAGAGAGAGAGAGAGAGAGAGAGAGAGAGAGAGAGAGAGAGAGAGAGAGAGAGAGAGAGAAGAGAAAGAAAAAAAATGAGAGAGAGAATAGAGAGACGTGAGAGAGAGAGAGAGAGAGAGAGAGAGAGGAGAGAAGAGAGAGAAGAGTGGAGAGAGAGAGAGAGAGAGAGAAAGCGAGAGAGAGAGAGAAATCATCCATATCAATCAACAAAAGATAAACGTTTCCCCATGTAACATCCCAGCACCTAAGAGACCTTCCCTCACCAGGTCGCTCCTGAACAACTACGAGGCCGGCGTCGTCCTGGACCTCCGCACAGCCAGGGTCGGGAAGAACTCGGACCTCCTGACCGAACTCAAGGCCGGCGACGACAAGTTTGCCTGTCGGGTCTTCATCGTGGTCTTGGGCGCTGGTTCCGACGTCTCGCAGCCACTGAAGTAGGTTTAGTCGTGGAGATCAAGGAATTTCTTGTCTGTATCCTTTAAATATGATCTCGGCTTTATTTCTTCGATTTTTCAGCGGCGTTTTGTGTTCGTATGATATTTCTTCGTTCTCTGGTAATTCGGCTTTTATATCCATCCCAAAGAGCGAATTCCGAAGATTCTCTTAATAATATCCAAGAATCATAACACTATCCACATAAATTCGAAACTAATATACATGTAATAATGATATCTTATAATGTCCACAAAAGTACCATGATAATATTTGTTGATAGTGAAAAATACAATACGAGTATCCGTTAATATTATATTTTTCCATGTGTATTATGAATTAATTCTATATTATCTGATTATATATCATTATTATCTATATGAATTACCTATGTTATCTGTATGAATTACCTCTATGAATTACCACTGTAGCCGTATCCACAAACCACCAGACTCAAGGACCTCTGCTTCCCCCACAGCCTCCTCGAAGACTTGAACCTCTTCCTGTGGCCTTACACGCGCGTCCTCTTCGTCGGCTCCAACGGACAGGTCCAGGACACCCTCAAAGACGACGCCCTTCGCAACACCGTCCACGCCCTGTTCCTCGCCCTGGATGAAGGAGCGACGACCAACGACGAAGGAGGAGGAGGAGGAGGACACAGCGAGGTCGGGGGGAAAGTAAGAGGGTTGATGGCTCGCGAGGAGAGAGAAGAGGAAGAAGGGAGAGTGGAAGGAAGAGGAGTAGAGAGAGAAGGAGAAGGAAATGGGGGACGGAAACGGGTGAAGAGTCGCTTGGTGAAGTGCTACCTGCGGTGTTTGTTTTGCAACGGGGGGGAAGTGGGCGTGACTCTGCTTGATGAGTGGAGCAAGGACGGCGGTTTCCTAAAGAAGGAAGAACTTTTTCCGGGTAAACGAACCACATTTCCGTGTTTGCTTTTCATTTTTTTCTGTCACTTTCTTAATCACTCTCTCTCTCTCTCTCTGCCTGTCTCTCTCTCTCTCTCTACCATCCCCCCCCCTCTCTCTATCTATCTATCTCTCTCTCTCTCTCTCTCTCTCTCTCTCTCTCTCTCTCTCTCTCTCTCTCTCTCTCTCTCTCTCTC